GCATCAAGACTGGAGGAAGACTCGTTAACAACCTGTGATATGCAGATGACACAATCTTGCTTGCTTACAGTAAAGAGGATTTGAAGCACTTACTGATTAAGATCAAAGACTACAGCCTTCAGTGTGGAGTACACCTCAACATAAAGAAAACAAAAATACTCACAACTGGACCAATAAGCAACACAATGATAAGCGGAGAAAATACTGGAGGAGGATCAAAGAAGAATTGATGCCTTTGAATTATGGTGTTGGTGAAGACTACTGAATATACCATGGACTGCCAGAAGAATGAACAGATTTGTCTTGGAAGAAGTACAGCCTGAAATGCTCCTTAGAAGCAAAGATGGCAAGACTTCATCTCACATACTTTGGACATGTTATCAAGAGGGATCAGTCCCCGGAGAAAGGACATCATGCTTGGTAAACCAGAGGGTCAGCGAAAAAGAGGAAGACACTCAGTGAGATGGACTGACACAATGGGCTCAAGCTTAACGATTGTGAAGATGGCACAGACCGGGCAGTGTTTCATTCTGTTGTACATAGGGTTGCTATGAGTCGGAACTGGCTTGATGGCACCTGACAACAACAATTTTTTATTATTCATTATTTTCATTTACAAAGGAAGTTTGCCAATTAGATTTATCAAATTAAGTAATTCAGTTCAATTTATTAGATATTTATTATGCTGTGTAAAAAAAGATAATAGAAGGAAAGACAAAACAGCCAAAGTGTTTTAACTGCTAAACGTGAATAAATTTTCAATTTTTAAAAGGAAAAAACAGTGAGAATTGAGTTTGAATTGTTGGGGTTCTCAATCACTGAATCATCTATTCAGGAGTGCTTATGTCAACTGGGAAAGCATTTTAGAAGCTCGCTGCCATACATAGTCTAAAAAAGTCAATATATGTTTAAAAAACTAATCAGTGATTTTGGAAGATACTTCAAATCATTAAATACCCAGGCAAGATTACCATTCTATAATTATCATAAAGAATCTAAGTGGAAGAATCAGGCCTATGATGTGTATTTAGTTCAGGTTTAAGAAACACCTTGTGGTATAGAAAAAGAAATCAACCATTTTATCAGCAACTTTAGAACACACACCTGTTAGGAACAGACATGACATGTGCAGGTGATGGAAAAGATTTTTGTTATTTTTAACTGGAAGCATAATCTTTAATATTTTGCTTCACTTAACCAAAGTACTTATTACAAAGGATATAGTTTCATAGCAAACTTAAAATAATATAGAAGAAAAATAGAACTTAACCTACAACAATTGATGATGTAGCTACAGAAATGATCAGTTGGTGACAGATTTGAACAAGAATCACTAAATTCCACCTGCAGGCACATCATGTCAAGTATGTATGAACAATAATAATTTTATGGCAGTGGTGCCAAGGGAAATATCCCAAGATTCTTTTTACATGTCAGAACAGTAACGTATATAGTTGATTTATGGCTAACTAAAAGATTAATGTCAAAGAGATTATTCGAACTCGTTCTGATTCCTCTAAATCTGGGAATATGTTAATTATTTCTCTAAAATGTACAAATATAGATAATGTATAGTGTATGGATGGCAACCATACTTTTCACAAAGATAAAAATACTCTATGCTCAAACATAAATCTTTTTTTTTTCTTTTGGATACAAGATTAGTATTCAAATTATTTTAGTTGTGATGAGTTCTGCAAGGATACTGAAAATAGTCATTAGTCTAATTAATTACAAGTGTCAAAAAGGCACAGTTCAATTCATTAGCATAAGGAAAAATATATGATTTTATACAATATCTGCAGTGATAAAGGAAATATCTACTTAATTAAAATGGAAATTCTGTGCCACCATGATAAAATGACTTCTTTAATTAGGGACTGTAAATGCCTAAGAAGAAAACAATTGATAACTCCTCAATACTGGAAGTAATGAAGATACCTTCAATATGGAAGGTTTGAGGAACAAGTTACAGGGTAGGGGAAGCAAGAGATACAGAATTATTAAAATTAGTTATTTTATTTAGTTCCTACAAAATTCAGAACAGCATCTATGCCTCTAACCATTATTCTGCTAGGAAGGTGTATGGTATGAGTTTATCAAGAAGGACTTAGACTGGGAGTAGATAGAAATGAATGTGCTAAGTGGAGTTCTGTCACTTATAGGCTGTATGACCCCAAATAAATCACAGCCTTTACTAGGTCTTAGATGTCGCATGAATAAAGGATGGATGATTTCTAGATCCTGTTCAGTTGTAATGTTAAGAAATTCTGAATGTCTGAAATTCAACCCATTTTTAAACTTCATATTCTGTGGTTGCCACTCTAGATTATAAAATGTATACAAAAGGATTTAAAATCAAACTAAATAACTAGTTGTAGCATATAAAAACCAACAAAACCCAAATCCACTGCTGCCAAATCAATTCTGACTCACACTGACCCTATGGGGGGGTCAAACTATATACTAAATTTGATAAATCTAGTGAGGCCAACTTTTCAGTTTCCTACTGACTGACTACCACTCAAAAAGCTGCCTCTCCCTAGAAACAGTGAAACACAGGAACCCTGTCCTTCTCTGGCTATATAATTCCATAATCAAAGAAGCTTAAAACTGAACTAAGTCCATGAAATGAAAAAATTAGCCACAGGGAACCTGGCAGAGTTGCTTTTCCTAATTGACAAATTTAGCATCTTCTTAACCCTGATACCTAATCTGTTAATAAAAACCCAATTGCCATCAAGTTGATTCCAACTCATAGTGGCCCTACAGGACATGACAGAACTGCCTCATAGTGCTTCCAAGGCTGTAATCTTTACAAAGGAGACTATCACATCTGCCTCCCGTGGAGTGGCTAGTGGGTTCAAACCACAGACCTTTCAGTGAGCAACTGAGCGCTTAACCACTATGCCACCAGGGCTCCTGTTAATACCAGCTATAAACTGCTGACCAGATCAGCTGAAGAGGCAACCTCAAAACTAAAGCTCAGCTCAGTTCTAGATTAAGAGGTTCACTTTACAATTTGAAGTGAGTTACCAAAAAAAAAAAAAAAGTAGATAAAGAGAACAGGCTTCTAAATCACCCTAGGGAAGACAAAAATCACATTACACGATAGTACTTTTAATCTGTATATTCCCCTTATACAGCAATTCAAAGCATTTTACAGAAATTATCCAATTAAGTTTCATGACAATTCTGTGAAGAGTCAGGTATTGATTTTTTTCTAAAGGAGGCAAAAAGAAACAAAGGAACTAAAGTTACTTACTTTGCCAATGACACAGCTTCCTATTCCAAATCTAGTGTCTTAACTTGTGAGAAAAGGGACCCAATCACATGAGAAATTATATTAACTGAAATATCTCAGTTTTTTGAAAAAATGTTTGACTTCTCACAAGATGTGAGTGCAAAGACAGTACATTGTCCTTAGATAATGAACTTCCTTAACTCAGTATCTGGCACACTGCAGGCACCACTATATATTTGCTGAATTAATAAAAGCTATTAATAATAGCTAGCAATTACATTAACTCCAAGGAAGAAGACATGGCAATCTGCTTCCATAAAGATTACAGCCAAAAAAAATCCTACGGGGCAGTTCTACTCAGTCACATGGGGTAGCTACGAGTTGTAATCAACTCGATGGCACCCAACAACAAGCAATTACTGTAGCTCATATATCAGGTGCTGTGCTAAGTGTATTCCATATATTATTTAATTTAATCCTACCAACAATTCAATGAGGGAAGTAAATTATTACTCCTTATTTTATTGATGAGGAAACTGAGGCTTGAGTTAAGTAACCTGCCCAAGATTACAAAGTGAGAAAGCCAAGATTTTAACACAGGTAGTCCAATTTAAATCTTTTTTAAAGATCATCAGTGTAGAAAGAGTAATAAACTAGCAGTAAGAAACTTTATATTCTAGTCCCTCTTCCACCACTTCCTTAGAGTGAATGAAAATTTCTTGCTGATCTTTAAATATCTTTATAATTCCTAGCACAGTACTTTACTTATATTGTTGTTGTTGTTAGTTCCCATGGAGTCTATCCCAACTCATTGCGACCCCAGGTGTTACAGAGTAGAACTGCTCTATAGGGTTTTCTTGGCCTTTTCTTCCGCAGTACCGCTGAGTGGGTTCCAACCGCCAACCTTTAGGTTAGTACTCAAGAGCAAATCATTTGCGCCACCTAGAGACGTTCCTTACTCACATTAAGGAGGAAAAAAAAACGCTGCCTTCAAGTTGATCTAACTCATAGTGACCTTATAGGACAGAGTAGAATTGCCCATAGGGTTTCCAAGGCGGTAATTTTTACGGAAGCTGACTGCCACATCTTTCTCCCAAGGAGTGGCTGGTGGGTTCAAACAGTCAACCTTCTGGTTAGCAGCCGAGCACTTAACCACTGCACCACCAGGACTCCTTTTACTCACATTAGTCCTCATCAAATCATTGAATTAAATTAAAAGCACATAAACAAATTAGGCTTCATTGTCCTCATTTGTAAAATGACAATAATGTTACCTGCATAGTCTACCTCAGTGGTTGTCAAAGAATGGTCCCAGGATCTGGGTACTTTCTCAGAAATGCAAATTCTCAGATCTCACCCCAAATCTACTGAAACAAAAACTGACGTTTTAACAAGCCATCTGAGTGATTCTTACGCGTGCTAAAGTTTCAGATCCACTGTTCTACCTTATAGGATAATTGTGAGAATCAAATGAGTTCAATAATGTGAAAGCATCCTAAAAAAATTGACAGGTAGTATTATCATCATCATTATTAAAAGAGTAAATTATGTGCCCTGAAAAAATAAGTGATTTTGCTAAATCTAGATAAAAATGAACATAAAAAATAAAACGTCATAAAATACACTTTAAATACAATACTGTCTTCTAGATTTTATCTGTATAAGATACAGCATTCGTGAATGCAGAGGAAAAGGTGACTACAAATTTGGTAATTTGGTCATGTAGTGATTCTGACATATTGCACAGGCTTCTTACCTGACCAGTGTCCAGTGGAGATGCCAGATCTATCTGTGCATGTCTCACTTACAGGTCTAAACACAGTCTCCCATCCACCAGTAGCATAGCGCCAATTCTGAGATTCCAAGATGAGTGTTCGCTGGGTGCCATATGCAATCATGAAGCAGTAGACCACATGATGGAGTTGACAGCCATAGCCACAGCCTTTATTGATATTACACACTAGCTTCTTGGCTTTGCTGCAGTCCACTGGATTCTGGTAGGTAGGAAGAGAAACTAAGGTGAAGATAAGCTGTAGAGAGAGGTCAACTTCTCTTTACAGGTGACAAGTGTCAAAAATCATGAAATAACTGGGACTGATCCAATATATCTCTTATTAAACAAACAATCTACTTTTAAGGATTGAATTTCAAAGAATCCAGTGAAAATGTTATGTGCATACTTAGGGAGATGGCAGTGAAAAAGAATAGTTACTTTGGAAACTTCACTAAATAAATGTGCAAGTAAGCAGTTACATTTTAAATTGCTCTTTCACTTCTCTAGCACTCAGAATATGTAAGTGTGATCATCTCTGAATTCAAAGTTGCATACATTAAGACCTCTATGGGAGGAGTAAAACAGCTTACTTCAGCAGCATTTCAGCACTCTGAGCTTACCTTTCCTGACGAAACTCAAATTATCTTAAAGGAAAACTACAATTTACCTACTAATTCCTTCTGTCTCTAGAGTTCTACATGTCACAAACAAAATCAACTTTTTCATTATGAAAGTAAAAGCCACTGAGTAAAAGAATATCTGAACTCAATAATTACAAAATATCAGCCACAGAACTTTTTTTTTAAACCAATCTTGATGATAGCTACTGACAATTTTCACAATTGTATGTAGAACATGTTGTATACTGACTACCTCAGGAACATGCTATTCCAATTTTTAATCAAGAGATTCATTTTTCTAATTGTATAAGATGTTATTAAGATAGATAGCAAATGGCTAAAACACTTGGTACTGTCTAATGCTGAGTGCAGTGGGGTTAGCTAACGTGAGAAGTAGTTTTTTTTCCATTTTAAAGTTTCAGTTTTGCTCAAATTCACAGGGGCTCTTGCTAAATATCCCAAGGCATCTTAGTTCCTCAAATACAAATTTGTTTTGCAAGGACTTTTTAGCCTGAGAAGTTTTCCAAGCTGTTTTATCTGCAAGGAAGAGAGAGGATGGATGCCTCTGTGAACAGAATCTTTACTCCCACATAGCAAGAGTCAGGTAACCAGTTCTCAATTTATATGAGCCTTGAATAAAGTAGTCACCAAACCCCAAATCTACAACTATTTTCCAGATATATCATCTGTTCTGTCAAGTAGAAACCTAGAAACAAAAGTTAAGTGAGGCTATAAAATGATTCTGAGGGAAAATGCAACACTGCTACCTTCAGAAAAGGTACTTTTCATCTTCAAATATGTCACAGCAGGCTGTTTGTTTGTTAGTTTAGGTCAAAGTCTAACTGACAACATCAAGAATCTTATGAAAAGTTAGAGTCCTTGTGAATTCCAAGGAAAAAACACAGATAAAAATTCAGTAAGATTTGGTCAGTATTGTTTCCTCAATCAGGTACTAGTGTTGCTGATTATTTTCACTTTAAACTCATGACAAACTCCTAAGGAATAAGCATTCCCATTCCAGTTGCTATAGCCACATCAGTTGCTAAATCCACAGATTTGAGAGGAACACAGGAATGTAAGATCATGTAGGAATGGGACAGGTATATCATTGATTTTCTGTTCAAGATCATACAAAGATCCCGAGAATAAATAATGTTCTCAAGCTGATCCAAAGTTTTATTACTGACTCAGCAGTTGATAAAGCATATAAAGAACACTGACATTTGTCAGATTTTTCATGACTTGTGAGAAATACAGCACTTGACTATAAAATTTTTATGAATTAAAAAGAAAGCATCCTTTATGTACTTTTAATAAACTTTTTCTTTTAGAACAGTGTTTAAATATACAGAATTATTGCAAAGATAGTAAGAGAGTTCCCATATATCCCACACCCAGTTTCTCCTATTATTAACATTTTATTTTTTTTTTTAAAGAAAAAAATGAGGGAACATAATAGCTGAAATGATCAGCCTTCAGTTTGGAAGCTATAGATTTTTTGACTTAAAAGAAAACTCACATCTACATGTAAGAAAAGCACATTTACCATGTGTTCTAAGAGAAAAGTTTAATTAGAATCCAGAGCTTTGAGCACAAGAGATTAAGACCTAAGAGAAGACAGGGCAATTACTGAAATGCGGCTTAACTGAAGAAGCTCAGTGTGCTTCAAATCAAGTTGAAGAGAGAATACATTAATTCCTTCCGTTATGTCATAGGTAACACAGAGACAGGAAAAAAAAAAAAATTGTGCTTGGTTCCAGAAAGAGAAAAGTCTACATATACAAGGTAATCAATGGAGAGCTCCTAGGCAGAGAGTGAGCAATAAAAGAAAATAAATGACTGTTTGGAATGATAACAGTAAACAAAACACTGAAGAACTTCAGAGCCACAGCCCAATTTGGTAACAAAATAACACTAAAAAGTCTGGAAGATTCAAAGGATCTTGTTCATAAAAGATTCAGAAAAAGGCAGAGACAGTGAGAAAGTGAAAAAGTATGTGTGTTCCTAACACAGATTAGGCTCACCAGAATAAATGTCTAGACAAAACAAGCCGGTATTTCTAAGATAAATGGAATTTTTTTTTTTTTTTAAACAAATCAACATCTCTTTGAGACAGACAGGGATTTATTTTGATGGAAAGGAACTTCAGAGAAAACACTTAATCTGAGCTAAGTCTTTGTTATCCACCATTATTTTATAAACAAAGGGTTACAGAGTAGCAATAAATATAAGGATATTTATAGGAGTCTGTAAAATGGAAACAAAGCCATAGTGATAGACAAATACCAAGAGAAAGAGAGAGAGAGAAAGAGATGTGATCTTCAATTTTCTTACCAAATGGCCTTTGTCAATTACCATTGGTTCTACACTCCCCTGTTTATGTCTGCAAAAGGCTTGAAGATGTATCTCATTCATGAGCAAGAAGATAACAGAAGGACCTCCTTGCTAAAGGCAGCTTTACTTTAATCATGCCAATACTTTTAACAGGGTAGGTATTTCTGATGATAAAATCTGTTTTACCTCCAGGATGGTGAATGTACTCTTTTCTGTATTTCTCTACCAGTTATGCAAGAATGCAGCTACACTGTTTTCTTTTATATTGTGTTTCTTATTAATCTCTCCTTTCCTCTCCTTTTTGACATACTCTCCCACTCACCCCTCGCCCTCCCCCCCCACCCACACACTTGAAGGATAAGATACACTCCCAGCAGAACAAGGCTCACTAGCAAGTACTTACTATTTGGGAACAAAAGATGGGGGACTATACACTGAACATGCCCCCAGTAAGTTCCCTGGGGGAAAGTCACACTCATCTTTCCTTCTTCCTGCCTTGAGCATCAATCACTGATCAAATACAGGTGAACTTTTGTTTATCCAAGAAATACTTATTGAGCATTTAATACATCCAAGAAACTCTGGAGATGACATGTCCTTGGATGGCATGAATGGTTTGTGCTCAGCTTCTAACCAAAAGGTTGGTGGTTTGAACCTACTCAGCAGTGCCACAGAAGAAAGTCCTCATGATTTACTCCTGTAAAATTGTAGCCACTGAAAACCCTATGAAGCACAGTTCTACTCTTTAATGTGTGGGGTCACCATGAGTAGAATCAATTCCACAACAACAGGATTTTGGAAGATGACAATCCTATAGATGTAATAGGGTCCCTCTGTATTCTGTCCCTCTTTTCCTGTCTTCCACTATTTTTTACACTATCTGAGGCTTTTCTTCTGACAGTGTAGAAGAATGACCCTGTCTCAACATAACTGAAAGCTGTATTTCACTATCCTATAAATCAACTGGGAACTACACTTGAATCAATATGCTTCTAATCAAGACATTATACTAAGGGAAGCAGTATCTCTTAGAAATAAATGATTACTAATTCAGTAAAGGCACCATCATAATGCTGAATTATTTTCATCTCTCACTTTGGCTAAAATATGAAAACAGTTACTGTTGAACATACTTTGATTTAGGAAGCCAGCTTTACTTCTACTTTGATAAAAAAGAATAATTTTGAATTAATTGTAAACTATAGCTATTATTTATTATATTACTTACGCACTACTAGGATTTAAGATCCCTGGGTGGTGCAAAGAGTTCGTGCTCGACTATATGGTTGCTATCGACTGGAATCAACTTGACAGCAACGAGTTTGGTTTTTGGTTTTATTAACATAAAGACTGGTGGTTGTAACCCACCCCGTAGCACCATGGAAGAAATGCTGGTGATTTGCTGCTATAAAGACTACAGCCTATGGAGCAGTTCTACTATGTAACACATGGGGTTGTCATGAGTCAGAACTGACTTGATGGCAACAGGTTTGGTTTTGGTTACTAGGATTTAGGAGTTTCCACTGCCTCCATTTAGTAAATATTTTGCAAATTAATGGGGTAGTATTACAAAATACTACAGATTCTGTGGCTTTTAAATTAAATCACATTTTCCAATGGCTAGCAAAATTTTCCATACACACAAATAAAAGCCTCTTCAGAGTGCAAAATTTTCAGTCATAGTGTAATTCCTTCACATATCTGCCAGAGTTAATATTGCAAAAAATATTTCATAAAAATGTTAACTCAAAAACAAACAAAAAAATTTAGTGAATATAACCAGGATACACTATCTCCAAGCATCTCTTGCAAAGAGTAAGAGCTGAATAGCTATTAGTTATTGAATCTATACAGACAAAGAAGGCTATAATTTATAAAAAATAATAAAAATTAAATTCTTTATTTTGATGCTGAACAGATGATGTTTAAAAATTTTTATTGTGATAAAATATTTTGTCATTTTAACCATTTTTAAGTGTACAATTCAGTGGCATTAATTACATTCACCATGTTGTGCAACCACCTCCACTATCCATTTCCAAATGTTTCTCATCATCCTAAATAAAAACTCAGTACCCCTTAAGCAATGACTCCCCATCCCCCCCTATCCCTCAGCCCCTGGTAACCACTAATAACTTTGGTCTTTATGCATTTGCCTATTCCAGATATTTCATATAAGTGAGATCATACAGTATTTGTCTTTTTATGTCTGACTAATTTCACTCAGCATGTTTTCAAGGTTCATCAATTTTGAAGCATGTATTAG